AAATGGCATCCGGAGAATGATCACCAAGCTCAACTCAACCAGGGAGGGCAGGGAGGCCCGCACACTTGGGGCCAAGAAAGCGCACGCAGCTGCTGCACATTCAGACAGCTGGAGCAACCAAGCTACGCGAAACACACAAGCTGGCAGGGCTACCGTTTGGGACTGTCTATCAACAGAGCACTCCTAAAATGCCACGTGGATTTGCCCGACTGGCGAAGAAAGCTTCCTTCACACCACCTAGAAAATCCAAGCGGGAGGATTGTACATGTTGCTTGTGTGCAATGGACAGAAAAAATGCCTCTCTCTCTCTCTCTCTCAGAAAATCGGTCGCGGTGCTTCAATTTGTTGCTTGGCTGATGCATCTTGGGTGCCCTCCTTCCTCCCTTGAGTGGAGTTGCCCCGCGAAACGGTCAAAACGAAATCGACTTCAAACGTCGAAACGATACAACATACACATCCTGTCCCTCTCCCTGCTGGCACTTGCAACTAAAGCCCGACTCACCTGCTCTTGTCTGAAACAAGACACGTGTCATTATGTGTCTGTGCCTCCCGAGGCTTGTCGCAAAACAGAACTGCAGGTATGCTTCAGCAATCTGCTTTTGCGCTGATGCATCTTGGGTGCCCTCCTTCCTCCCTTGAGTGGAGTGGCCCCGCGAAACGGTCAAAACGAAATCGACTTCAAACGTCGAAACGCTACAACATACACATCCTGTCCCAAGCAGACAAACACATCCGTCCGCAACAGGCCTTACCCTAGGCCTCACCAGACCTTCTCGGGCCTCACCGCGCAGCCTCCAGAATGGACTGCAACTTCTGGGCCAACATCATGTTGCCCTTGATCTTCAGCTTGCCGCCCATGAAGGCTTGCATGCCGTCCAACTTGCCTTCTGCCATGGCCATGAAGTCGTCATCCTTCATGGTGATGGTGCAGTCAGCAGTGTCCTCACCTTTCTTGGCTGATCCGCTGCCATTCTTCAGATCCAGGACGAACTTGCCATCTGCACCACCGTCGCTGATGATGAACTGGAACACAGCCCCTCCCATCTTAACGAGCTCTGGTCCCTTTGTCTTCACTGCTGCGCTCATCGCATCGAACAAAGCTGCGGACTTCATCCTGAGCTCTGGGCAGAGTTTTGCAAGTCCGGGCTGCCGATGGCTTGTGGCAAAACGGCTTCGGATACTGCAATTTCCAATTTGCTATCTCCCTGCTGGCACTTGAAACCAAAGCCCGACTCACCTGCTCTTCTCTGAAACAAGGCATGTGTCATAATGTGTCTGTGCCTCCCGAGGCGTGTTGCAAAACAGAACTGCAGGTATGCTTCAGCAATCTGCTTTTGCGCTGATGCATCTTGGGTGCCCTCCTTCCTCCCTTGAGTGGAGTGGCCCCGCGAAACGGTCAAAACGAAATCGACTTCAAACGTCGAAACGCTACAACATACACATCCTGTCCCAAGCAGACAAACAAATCCGTCCGCAACAGGCCTTACCCTAGGCCTCACCAGACCTTCTCGGGCCTCACCGCGCAGCCTCCAGAATGGACTGCAACTTCTGGGCCAACATCATGTTGCCCTTGATCTTCAGCTTGCCGCCCATGAAGGCTTGCATGCCGTCCAACTTGCCTTCTGCCATGGCCATGAAGTCGTCATCCTTCATGGTGATGGTGCAGTCAGCAGTGTCCTCACCTTTCTTGGCTGATCCGCTGCCATTCTTCAGATCCAGGACGAACTTGCCATCTGCACCACCGTCGCTGATGATGAACTGGAACACAGCCCCTCCCATCTTAACGAGCTCTGGTCCCTTTGTCTTCACTGCTGCGCTCATCGCATCGAACAAAGCTGCGGACTTCATCCTGAGCTCTGGGCAGAGTTTTGCAAGTCCGGGCTGCCGATGGCTTGTGGCAAAACGGCTTCGGATACTGCAATTTCCAATTTGCTATCTCCCTGCTGGCACTTGAAACCAAAGCCCGACTCACCTGCTCTTCTCTGAAACAAGGCATGTGTCATAATGTGTCTGTGCCTCCCGAGGCGTGTTGCAAAACAGAACTGCAGGTATGCTTCAGCAATCTGCTTTTGCGCTGATGCATCTTGGGTGCCCTCCTTCCTCCCTTGAGTGGAGTGGCCCCGCGAAACGGTCAAAACGAAATCGACTTCAAACGTCGAAACGCTACAACATACACATCCTGTCCCAAGCAGACAAACAAATCCGTCCGCAACAGGCCTTACCCTAGGCCTCACCAGACCTTCTCGGGCCTCACCGCGCAGCCTCCAGAATGGACTGCAACTTCTGGGCCAACATCATGTTGCCCTTGATCTTCAGCTTGCCGCCCATGAAGGCTTGCATGCCGTCCAACTTGCCTTCTGCCATGGCCATGAAGTTGTCATCCTTCATGGTGATGGTGCAGTCAGCAGTGTCCTCACCTTTCTTGGCTGATCCGCTGCCATTCTTCAGATCCAGGACGAACTTGCCATCCGCGCCACCGTCGCTGATGATGAACTGGAACACAGCCCCTCCCATCTTAACGAGCTCTGGTCCCTTTGCCTTCACCGCTGCGCTCATCGCGTCGAACAAAGCTGCGGACTTCATCCTGAGCTCTGGGCAGAGTTTTGCAAGTCCGGGCTGCCGATGGCTTGTGGCAAAACGGCTTCGGATACTGCAATTTCCAATTTGCTATCTCCCTGCTGGCACTTGAAACTACCTGCTCTTCTCTGAAAACAAGGCATGTGTCATAATGTGTCTGTGCCTCCCGAGACTTGTCGCAAAACAGAACTGCAGGTATGCTTCAGCAATCTGCTTTTGCGCTGATGCATCTTGGGTGCCCTCCTTCCTCCCTTGAGTGGAGTGGCCCCGCGAAACGGTCAAAACGAAATCGACTTCAAACGTCGAAACGCTACAACATACACATCCTGTCCCAAGCAAACAAACACATCCGTCCGCAACAGGCCTTACCCTAGGCCTCACCAGACCTTCTCGGGCCTCACCGCGCAGCCTCCAGAATGGACTGCAACTTCTGGGCCAACATCATGTTGCCCTTGATCTTCAGCTTGCCGCCCATGAAGGCTTGCATGCCGTCCAACTTGCCTTCTGCCATGGCCATGAAGTCGTCATCCTTCATGGTGATGGTGCAGTCAGCAGTGTCCTCACCTTTCTTGGCTGATCCGCTGCCATTCTTCAGATCCAGGACGAACTTGCCATCCGCGCCCCCGTCGCTGATGATGAACTGGAACACAGCCCCTCCCATCTTAACGAGCTCTGGTCCCTTTGTCTTCACTGCTGCGCTCATCGCATCGAACAAAGCCGCAGACTTCATCCCGACACTGGGCAGAGTATTGCAAGTCCGGGCTGCTGATGGCTTGTGGCAAAACGGCTTCAGAAATTCTAGCTTGCTGTCTGCACGGTGATGCCCATTGTCGAGCTCCGTGGGCCGGGCTGGCAACATAGCCCTTTGGTGCGGCCGAGGCGCCATGAAGTAAACGCTCTGCGGTTTCACATTTGTCGTGTGCAGGTCCTTCTCGCTGTCACTTGTGCCATGAGGCATGCTGACTGGGGTCTCAAATCATATTCCCAAGTATGCGCTCACTCTGTGATTTACAGTCGTTCTTTCATATTGTCTCTGGTTTATCCCTCTGAAGACCTCCACGCTCTAAACTACAGAGCGCATAGCACTTGTTTGATCACGTCAGCAATCACAACGCTCCCCCCTCTCCATTGGCTCCGAAGCCCCCAGAATGATACGTGGCTCGCCTCCGTGGAACGCTTCATGGCGCCCATCGGCCCATGGGCACAACATTGCACAAAGCAGCTTGACGTGTGGCACTCGGTTGCTTAAAACAGGCAGACCCACCTCCCATTCCCGGTCCTTGCTGGCAAACCGCCGCAACCGCAAATGTGTGCTTGACCTGGCGGATTTGCGATGGACGGCGGGCCCCAAGCCCTGTTGCAAGCCGCCACTTCATCTGACGCCCCTCAGTTCATGAAATGACTAGGCGCTGTCAAGGTTGGACTTGCCGCGCCGCGCGCTGAGGTGGCTTGCCATCCATGCCATCTGCAAGGCGGCATGGCTTGTTGCGCATGCTTAGTCATGGTCGCGTCAGCAGGCAGGTCAGACTCCCCAGGCATACTATGAAATACTGACCCCATCAGCCTTCGCGCCAGCAGCTGGCCAGCCAAAGGCACCTTAAAATGTGTGTGTGTGTGTGTGTGTGTGTGTGTGTGTGTGTGTGTGTGTGTGTGTGTGTGTGTGTGTGTGTGTGTGTGTGTGTGTGTGTGTGTGTGTGTTTGTTTGTTTGTTTCTTTCTTTGTTTCTTTGTTTCTTTGTTTCTTTCTTTGTTTCTTTGTTTCTTTGTTTCTTTCTTTGTTTCTTTGTTTCTTTGTTTCTTTGTTTCTTTGTTTCTTTGTTTCTTTGTTTCTTTGTTTCTTTGTTTCTTTGTTTCTTTGCTTCTTTGTTTTTGTTTTTGTTTCTTTTTTTCTCTTTGTTTCTTTGTTTCTTTGTTTCTTTGTTTCTTTGTTTCTTTGTTTCTTTGTTTCTTTGTTTCTTTGTTTCTTTGTTTCTTTGTTTCTTTGTTTCTTTGTTTCTTTGTGTTTCTTTGTTTTCTTTGTTTCTTTGTTTCTTTGTTTTTGTTTCTTTGTTTCTTTGTTTCTTTGTTTCTTTGTTTCTTTGTTTCTTTGTTTCTTTGTTTCTTTGTTTCTTTGTTTCTTTGTTTCTTTGTTTCTTTGTTTCTTTGTTTCTTTGTTTCTTTGTTTCTTTGTTTCTTTGTTTCTTTGTTTCTTTGTTTCTTTGTTTCTTTGTTTTTTTGTTTCTTTGTTTCTTTGTTTCTTTGTTTCTTTGTTTCTTTGTTTCTTTGTTTCTTTGTTTCTTTGTTTCTTTGTTTCTTTGTTTCTTTGTTTCTTTGTTTCTTTGTTTCTTTGTTTCTTTGTTTTCTTTTTCTTCTTTTTCTTTGTTTTTCTCTTTGTTTCTTCGTTCTTCTTCATTTGTTTCTTTGTTTCTTTGTTTCCTTTGTTTT